TATAAAAAGCATTTTTATATTTGGTTCGACTATGGTTCATAATAAATATAATCAATTCTATCTATTCAAATTGGTAGGGTTGCCAGACCCCGGGTGGTGGCTGGAGATCGCCGGAGATTACCACTGATCTCCAGGCAACAGAGATCAATTCACCTGGAGAGAATGGTTGCTGTGGCAGGGGAACTGTATGCCATTATTTATTTTATTTTATTTTATTTATTCAGGAATTTCTACCCCGCCCTACCCCGCAAGCGGGCTCAGGGCGGCTTACAGAGGCATAAGCCCGTACATAAAATTTATAAAATCCAATAAAATCTCAAATCACAACCAACATACTATTAATAATAATAAGTGCTTTAGATTCCAAGATGGTCTGCAGTTGACACCTGCAGGGGATACCCCTGCCGACTTTAGTCGTAGTGATATCATCCTAGCAATATTAGTCCAAGCTAAACGGCTGGTCTTGTTGTCATATAGTTCACCTCGTCTCCGGGCTATCAAGGGCGCACCAACTTGATGATCTTTCCATCGTTGGTGGTGGTGGGAGCGGCGGCCCCTACATAAAAGCCTGGTGGAAGAGCTCTGTCTTGCAGGCCCTGCGGAATTGCAAAAGATCCCGCAGGGCCCTGATCTCCTCCGGGAGCTCATTCCACCAGGTAGGGGCCACCACTGAGAAGGATCTTGCCCTTGTCGCAGCATACCGTACCTCTTGAGGACCCGGAACCACTAAGCGACTCTGGGTCCCCGACTGAAGTGCTCTTGGGGGTGTATACGGGGAAAGGCGGTCCCTCAGGTAGGTCGGACCCCGGCCATATAGGGCTTTAAAGGTGAGTACCAGCACTTTGAAGCGGATTTGGTATGCTATAGGCAGCCAGTGCAGCGCCTTCAACCCAGGCTTGATGTGCTCCCACAAAGGTACCCCATCGAAGGTCGGGAGAGGGAGCCCTAACCCCAGACCGTTCCGACTCAGGCCCAGGACCTCCGTCTTCGCTGGGTTTAGTTTCAACCGGCTCAGCCTGAGCCACTCAGCCACAGCCTGTAGTCCCTGTTGAAGATCTTGCGGGTCGGAGCCCGACCGGCCACCCAACATCAGATAGAGCTGGGTGTCATCTGCATACTGATGACAGCCCAGCCCATGCCTCCTGGCAATCTGGGCGAGAGGGCGCATATAGATGTTGAAAAGCATCGGGGAAAGCACTGCCCCCTGAGGAACACCACATTCAAGTGGGTGCCTCTGGGACTGCTGTTCCCCGATTTCCACTCTCTGTCCCCGACCTTGGAGAAAAGAGGCAAGCCATTGAAGGGCGAGTCCCTGAATCCCCACGTCGGCGAGGCGGTGGGTCAGCAACTGGTGGTCGACCGTGTCGAATGCAGCCGACAGATCTAACAGCACCAGTGCCGCCACACCCCTTCGATCCAGATGCCTCCAGAGGTCGTCAGTAAGGGCGACCAGCGCCGTCTCCATCCCGTAACCAGGGCGAAAGCCGGACTGAAGTGGATCTAGGACAGAAGCGTCATCCAGAAAGCCCTGGAGCTGCGTCGCCACCACCCTCTCAATCAATTTGCCCAAATAGGGCAAATTAGACACCGGCCGATAGTTGGCCAATTCGCTCAGGTCTAAAGTTGGTTTTTTCAGGAGAGGGCGGACCATCGCTTCCTTAAGCGCTTCCGGGAACCGTCCCTCCATGAGGGACTTGTTAATAATCTCCCGTACAGCACCTCGAAACCCCTCGTGGCCCGCCTTGACGAGCCAGGAAGGGCACGGATCCAGGGAGCATGTGGTTGGGCGCACAGTTCCAAGCAATCTGTCAACTTCTTCCAGACTGAGCGGGTCAAAACATTCTAAACCCAACGGGGACGTGCAAGGGGCCTCAAGTTCGCTCACTGTTTCAACTGTGGCAGGGAGGTCACGGCAGAGCACCACTTAAGTCCCTCCCCCCCAATCCCCACTCTCCTCAGGCTCCACCCCCCCAAATCTCCACGTTATTTCCCAACCCAGAGCTGAAAACCCTATAAAATGGGGCACGGGGAGATAGAAATGGAGAATAGCTGGATCCAGTGAAACGTTCCATTCTGTCTGTCACACACATGGTTACCCTGAAGAGCTGCAGAGAAGCTTCACTTGGCCTGAGCTGTGCAACTATACACAGTAGTGTCTCTTATGTAAGAAAATGGTATTCTAGGAAGTGGGCCTCAGAGGGTGACTGGCTGGCTATGTAAGACTGTGCCAATAATGAAAAGTACCATTGTTCAACAAGATCTAGAAACCAATGAGGACCTCCAAGTATCCACCAGCAAGATTCATTGAACTGAATGAATGAGTGAATATACAAGAAGTGAGCTTTTTCATATCCTTTCAGTTTTGCAGGAGACTATATTGATGACTAGGAGCTGCGGTGGCTCAAGTGGTTAAGACGCTGAACTGCAGGCTGTGGAAGGTCAGTAGTTCAGCAGTTCGAGACCCGGGTGCCGCATGATGGAGTGAGCTCCCATCTCTAGTTCCAGCTCCTGCCAACCTAGCAGTTCGAAAGCAAGAAATTGCAAGTAGATAAATAGGTACCACTTCGGTGGGAAGGTAACAGCGTTCCGTGCACCTTGGTGTTTAGTCATGCCGGCCACATGACCACGGAAACATCTTCGGACAACACTGGCTTTTCAGCTTTGAAACGGAGATGAGCACCGCAACCCTAGAGTCGGACTAGACTGGCTTTCGAGCAAGGGAAACTTTACCTTTACCTTTATATTGATGACTTGTGTTCTGACTTTGCAAAATCAGGCCACATTCCACACACATTATGAGTGCTTCGTTCTTGCAAAAAACCAGAGAGAGAGAGAGAGAGAGAGACTTCGTTCTTGCAAAAAACCAGAGAGAGAGAGAGAGAGAGAGAGAGAGAATGCCCTTTGACTCTGTTTGGTTGCTAGTTTATTTTACTTGCTGCAGTGACTCTGTTGTATTAATTTAAATGTTCTTTTATTTCAACTTAGTACTGCTTATCTATAGAATCCTGCTAACAACAGTGATTTTTTTTTACTGTGGATAATATTTCATGCTAATTACTGGAAAAGCTACCTTTGTAGAAGGAGCAGAAGGAACAGATTTAAATGTGTCCGGCTCTGTATAATGCTCTGGAGATGTGCCTGGTTCAGAGATATTATGGTATCAAATGCATTATGGAAAATTGTGTTTAATAATGTGGGAAGAGGAGAGTGCCTCTCTTTAAGGTTTCTAGAGAAACTATCAATCTAAATTACTGTTATGCCTGATGGTTGCCAGTAAAAGGGCATTGTAAAGAAGAAACATTTGTTGCTTGTTCCTAAGTAACCTTTGCATCTAAGGCTAAGTTTAAAGGTTCTGCAGAATAAAGTGGTGGAATAGACTGCAAAGCTGTACAGACCACAGAAGGGAAGCACCATTTTTAAATGCTTTCCACAGTAGTTTCCTTCAAATAGATATCTCACAAATCAAGGAGAAAGCCTTTAGACTCACTCTTTGCTTCCTGGGCTGGCAGGTTCTGCCTCTCTCTATGAACATAGGAACATAAGAGAAGCCAATGTTGGATCAGGCTGTCATTTCTCCAAGCTAAAGAGCCCCAAGCGCTTTAACCTTTCTTCATAGGGAAGGTGTTCCAACCCTTTTATCATTCTTGTTGCCCTTTTCTGCACTTTTCCCAAAGCTATAATATCCTTTTTAATTTGTGGTGACCAGAACTGTACACAGTATTCCAAATGAGGTTGCACCATTGATTTATATAGGAGCATTATGATATTGGCTGATCTGTTTTCAATACCCTTCCTAATAATCCCCAGCATAGCATTGGCCTTTTTATTAATGAACAAGTTAAAAAGCATCAGACTGAGTACTGATCCCTGCAATACCCCACTGCTTACCACCCTCCACTGAGAAAATTTCCCATTTATAGTCACTCTCAGTTTCCTATTAATTAGCCAGTTTTTGATCCATAAATGGACTTGCCCTTTTATCCCATGATTTTTGAGCTTACTTAGGAGCCTTTGATGAGGAACTTTATCAAAAGCTTTCTGGAACTCAAGGTAAACAAAAAGAGCAAGCAATGAGAGCTGATGGAATGTTGAGAGAGGGAGACTTGAAAAACAGCAGTTGAAAATGAGTTAGTAGCAGAGGAGTTGACAGCTTGGAACAGAGAAGGGGGAAAAAAGGAGGATATCCAACTGAGTAGAACTTTGCAGAAGAGCTGTTGAGAGCAGGCTGAAAATAGTAAAGTTGTAATTAAAAGATGCTGGTTGTAAGAATAGGACCTCATTTTAAAAGTTCAATGGAGGTGAAAAGGTGTTACTTATACCTTACTTTCTTCAGTGTTTTGTTAAGAACATAAGAAGAGTCCTGGTGGATCAGACCAAGGGACCATCTAGTCAAGTATCCTGTCTCACACGGTGGCCATTTCCTCTGGATGGCCAACAACTGGGCATAGAGGCCAAGGCCTTCCCCTGATGTTGCCTCCTTGCTCTGGGATTCAGAAGATTAAGTGCCTCTGAATGTGGAGGCAAGTAGCTATTGATAGACATATCCCCCATGAATCCATCTAATCCCCTTCTAAAGCTGTTTATTCCTGTAGCCATCACAACATCCTCTAGCAGTGAATTCCACACTTTAATCACTCTCTATGTAAAGTAGTATTTCCTTTTGTCTGTCTTGAACCTACTGCCCATCAGTTTCATTGGATGCCCTTGAGTTCTAGAATTAGGGGAGAAGGAGAAAAAATTCTCTTTGTCAACTCTCTCCACCTCGTATCATAAATATCATATATATCATATCATATCATAAATAAAAGTTTTCATGTTTTGATTAACCCTGTGGGCTGCATGTCTAAGGGAAAGAACCACACACATGTGCACACACACAATTTAATACATCAGTCTCTATATATATTATAGGACTAGGGAGGAAGGCCCGTTGAGAAGGGCGATACAACGGGCGGCTAGCCCCCCCTCCTCGTGCCCTCCCCCTCTCTGCCCTGACCCAGGTGGCGGCCGGTGTTAGCCTTGCGCCCGTCGCCCCCAGCCACTCGCGCCTCGCGGTTGTCCTCCGCACAGCGTTCGGCTCCCCCCCGTCCTGACCCAGGTGGCTGGCGGGCTTAGCCTGGCGGCCGTTGTCCCCAGCCACTCGCAGCTCTTCTCCGCTCGGCTGTCGCCCCCTCCCTCTCTGCGCACAGACCCAGGCGGCTGGCGGCCTTATGCTGCTGTCCATCGTCCCCAGCCACTCGGACCTCTCGGCTGTCCTCCGCCCAGCTCTCAGCCCCTTCCCCTCTCCAGGCTGACCCAGGCGGCTGCCGGTCTTAGGCTGCCGCCCCGCCGCCCATCGTCCTCGGCTCTCCCCCCCTCCCCCTCTCCGCCCTGACCCAGGCGGCCGCCGGTCGTAGGCTGCGGCTCGTCGTCCCCAGGCACTCGCGCCTCTCGGCTCTCCTCCGCACGGCGGTCGCCTCGCCGCCCTGTGCGGCCTGCCGCCCGTCGCCTCCAGCCCTCGGGAAGATCCTCTGCAGGCCGTGTGAAGCTGCGTCCAAGGTGGGACTCCGACGACGTGGCCAATGGGACGTGGCCAAGCCGCTGACGGACAGCCAAGCCGTCCAAACACTGTAGGGGCGCATTGCGTGAAGTTTGCGTGTTACTGCTTTATGATATAGGAGAGATATGAGTAAATGGTGACAGTGAGTGATTGGAACACCCCAATTGCTCTGTGTGCGTGAAGGCATATTAAAGGGAGCTGGGCTACCCTGTCTGTGGATATCTCTGGCAGTGAGAGAGAGAGGACATGAGGTGTGAAATAGTCATGGTTCTCTGTATATTTTAAAAGAGACGAGAAGGGTAGCTTATGATGTCCTGATAATCCTGAACTTGAGAGAGAGTGGTTGCTGAGTGTGGTAGGCACTCTGCATGAGGGAAAACCTGCAATCTGAATGTGTAGACTGGACCTTAGTAAGAGTTCAGGTCTCATAATCTCTGTCCATGGTGCTGTGCAGAGTTTACACCACCTCCCCAGATTTATCATCACATGCCATGCGGTTCATCCATTTGTGCATTTTGTATGCTTGTACATCCAACCCACCTGTATTTTTTTTGTTTTGTTTTACCTATGTGTTTATTTCTCTTCTTGTTTTCAACTCAAGGAGAGTACCAAAGCAGCAATATCTGCAAAGACACAAAACTAAAAGTCTCCAGTAGGAACATTAAAAACAATACAAATACACAGCAAAAAGCAGTACAAACACATTTTTAAGAACTTTTTTGAAAGCAAAAAAACAGCTAAATCTGCCAGAACAGTTTGGTGGTGGAAAATGCCTTCATATCACAGCTGACTTATGACAACCCTGTAGGGTTTACAATGCAAGAGATGTTCAGAGATGGTTTGCCATTGACTGCCTCTGCATAGTGATCCTGGACTTCCTTGGTGGTCTCCCATCCAGGGGTCATTTCCCGCAGGAGTGCACAGGAGCAGAACTCTGGCAGTAAAGAGCCCAGGGGGTGAGCACATGCTACAAACCCCACCCCCTGCTCCCAGTAGCCCTCAGTCAGAGCAAGAAGCAGCCAGGTAAGCTGCAGAGCCCACCCCCTTCGGCCCTCCAGTCCAAAACAGTCCAGTGGCACCTTTAAGACCAAGTTTTATTCAGGTACAAGCTCTCTCACCTCTGTGAGGGGAGATCTGCGCGTCCCCCCCCCCCCCCATAGCTAGCAATCCAAAACAGTCCAGTGGAGCCTGAGCGGTGATGTCAGGGGGTGTGGCATATGCAAATTAGTTATGCTGATGAGTTATGCTAATGAGCTCCTGCACCTCTTTTTCTATGAAATGACCCCTGCTCCCATCCAAACACTAACCAGGGCTGACCCTGCTTAGCGTCTAAGGTCTGACAAGATTGGGCTAGCCTGGGCCATCCAGGGCAGAGCGAGAACAGTTTACCCTCCACCAGATGCCCTCTGGAATAAAACTGTCTCGCACACCTTTTGGAATGCAGTCAGTGCAAGCATCATTCACACTCACTCTGGTAGGCCATTCCAAAGGAATGGACCCACCACCGGAAAAGCCAGTGATCTATTGCTAGGAGAAGGCTGTCCAAGGAATGCAGCTTGCACACAGGAGTATACCTATTTATTGTGTTGTAGCAGACAGCTCATGCACTTGCTTCAGATCAGGAGTGGTATGTGACTATGGGGTGTACAGGGGGATATGTGTGCAAGTCTGACAATCATTGGGAAGCCTGAAGAACTACATCACAGAAGGCAAGCATGAACACAGTTCTAAGCAGTGCTGATTTCAGAGCAGGTCTCTGGAGAGGCAGCTGATGCATTCCCCCAATTACTTTTATTTATTTATATTATGTGAATTTTGTATGATATGAAATATGCCCTTTTAAAAAAATTTGTTTCTTGCATGTTGCCATTGTGAGTGCCATTGTGAATGGTTTTTTTTTCCTTTTACACATAGCATGAATACAGAATTAATATAGTATTTATTTGTAAAATGTAAAATAGCAATATGTGGCCCCCACCTGCAGATATTTAAATCTGTGGATCAGGACCACATTGACTCCCCAGGTTTGCAGATAAATTCCAAAGGTTTTTTTTAAAAAATACACTGGGGATTTAAATTCCCCCAGATTAAAAAAAATGATCAGTCGAGCTGGCACCATCTACCAGTGCTGGTATCAACACCAGGCTCAGCCACCATGGTGGAGGATGCCAGGTGCAGCCACAGGCCTGGCTGTTGTGGCCAAGGACTCCAGGAGTTGCTACAGGCCCTGCTGCCATAGCCACAGACTCCAGGAGTGGCTTAGATCTCCACTGCTGCTGCTGCAGATGCTGGGAGATGCTCTGGGCCCAGCTGCACCAACAGAGCACTCTCAGAGAAGCTCCTTGCCTGGCTGCCACAGCAGAGAATTCTGGAAGCATGGCGGAGGACTCCAGGAGAGCCTCTGGGGCTGGCAGCAGCAGTGGAGGATGGTGGGAGCCGCTCTGAGCTTGGAGCGGCTCCCAGGTACCGTCAATGTTTCCACAGGTGAGTGGTGGGGCCTGGAGTCGGGATGGCAGGGGGGAGAGATGAGATTCTCCCTCCTTCTGCATCACGCATTTCAATATGCATGATACTGAATGCTGATTTAGATATTCATTATATAATTCACTGCACTGCCTGGAACCCACATACTTGAAATACCATATTTCCCAAAATGACCTCCAGTGCTACCTCAGACCCTCTCAGCATCTACCATGTCCTTCCTTACATCTTTTATTTATTTATTTTGTTAGACTTATATCCTTGCCCTCCCACAATGTAGGCGCAGGGTGGGTACAAACATATATGTCTACAATAATGCAGATTTGCAGTTAAAACAACTCATAATTTACAGTTAAGATCTACAATTAAAGTAAAGGTAAAGGTAAAGGTTCCCTTGCTCGAAAGCCAGTCGAATCCGACTCTAGGGTTGTGGTGCTCATCTCCGTTTCAAAGCCGAAGAGCCAGCGCTGTCCAAAGATGTTTCCGTGGTCATGTGGTACCTATTTATCTACTTGCAATTTCTTGCTTCCGAACTGCTAGGTTGGCAGGAGCTGGAACTAGAGACGGGAGCTCACTCCGTCATGCGGCACCCGGGTCTTGAACTGCTGAACTACCGACCTTCCACAGCTTGCAGTTCAGCGTCTTAACCACTTGAGCCACCGCAGCTCCTCACAATTAAAGTAGATTTACAATAAAACAATAAGACACATTATAAGAATCCATTTAAAATCAATAAGATCATGATAGACTAAGACAATAACGTGCCTCAAGGGATAGTATTGTGGTCCCACCTGGCTTCTGGGAACTGGAGGGGAGGCCAGTTCAGATGGATGCCCGTTGCCTCAACTAAAGGCCTACAAGAAAGTATGTAAGGACTTCCAGTGAAAAACAATGACAGTCATTCACTTAACATCAGAGATAACATGCTATTTCTCTGCCAGGCCGTTCTTAAAGGTAAACACTCTCAATTAGGCTGTCTGACTCCTTTCACTCCAAACAAAACATCAACACACAGTTCTTGCTAATCAATATATTTGGCAGTCCAAAATACAGAAAAATCCGTCAGAGACATTCAGGATATACAGACTTTTTGAAAATCCTTTCTCAAAACTAGACTTATCATGAAGCTATTGGAAAACATATATCGGTCAGAAGTATTCATCAAGGTCACACAAAATTACAATACTCCTCAAACAATGGTTAGGAAATCCTGTATACTGGATGATTTTAATATGCTTAGCTATGCCTACAGACTAAATTTCCAGTGCTGCTTCTGAATCTGGCACAGCGTCGATCTCTCTAATGAGGCATTTTGGCTTTCCCAACCCTGAGTATTGTAACGAGCTCTAGAAAGAGGCTCTGGGAGAGTGCCCCGGCCTTGGGCACTCAGTGTCAATGTGCTGTGGTGACCTCAGCAGGGTATAATGACACAGAGTCCACCATTTTCTCCAGAGGAACTGATCTCTGCTACCTGAAGAGCAGTTGTAATTTTCAGTGATCTCCAGCCCTCACCTGGAGATTGGCAACAATTGCTACCCAGGAGGGAATGGCTGGTTTGGAGGGTGGAGTCTATGGCATTGTACCTGTCTAAGGTCCCCCCTCCTCAATCTTCATCTCTCCAGGCTCCACCCCTCAAATCTCCAGGAATTTCCCCACCTGGAGTTGGCAACCCTATCTCCTTCCCAGTGAAGCATCAACCTGCCACTATCTGCCCCTCTGGTGTCAACTTTCTATCTCCTCCCCCCTCCCTCCTGGAGATCAGTTATAATTCTGAGTGATTTCCACCCCTCTCCTGAGATTGGCAACAGTGGTTCCCCAGGAGGGAATGGCTGGTTGGGAGTGTGGAGTCTATGGCATTGTACCTGTCTGAGATCCCACCCCTCTTCAAACCTCACCTTCTCCAGGTTCCATCCCTCAAATCTCCAAGAATTTCACACATAGAGTTGGCAACCCTATCTCCTTCCCAGCCAATCATCAACCTACCTATATTTCCCCCTCACTCTTCAGCTTTCCATTTCCCCACACACACATACCTGCAGCCTCTTCCATGCTCTGTAGCCCTGACGGCCACAG